GTTCTAGAGGGGAGGGGGGTGGGAGGATGGGTTAGCCTGGTGGTGGGTATTGAGGAGGGCACATTCTGCATGGAGCACTGGGTGTTATGCACAAACAATGAATCATGGAACACTTCATCTAAAACTAATGATGTAATGTATGGGGATTAACACAAGAATAAAAAAGAAAAAAGGTTGTATAGGCACCCAGTGTGTGTGTGTGTGTGCGCGCGCGCGCACATACACTCATGCATGTGTGTATATGAATAAGTGCGTGCAGGCTAGGGAAGCAGGAGGAAGAAGAATGTTCCAGAGTCAAGCAGTTTGCATTTGAATCTCAGTGCCGCCATTTAGCCAGGTGACCTTGGGTAACTTACATAACCTCTCTGGGCCCCCCTCTCCCATCTGCAAAACAGGCCACAAGAGCACTCGCCCCGTGGGGCGCTGGGGAACTGAGTGAGCGCAGGGTGCTTAGTGTGGAGCCCAACAAAAAGCAGGTGCACGGGAAGTATTTGCAACAACTGGTGCCTCCCCTCATCTCGCTCAGAGCTGGGTGTGCACAAACTCATAAATGACCCCTTCTCCCCATCTGGCCCTGGCTCAACCTCAGTGACTCAGAGGCAGCCACCTGGCGCTAACCACCTCCTGTCCCCTGGGGCTCATCTATAAGACGCAGCCCACAAACACCGCTGCCCTCTTCTGCCCTGGATCACTCCCCCAACCCCACCCCCACCCCAGGCTGCTGGTTTGGGGAAGAAGAGATACACACAGCGGGGGCTGCCTCAGCTCAAGGCTACCCTCCACACAGGTGTCTGCACCATCAGCTGGCGGGGAGAGGAGGAGCCGGCTGGGGGAGCCTCTGGGGTGGAGCCCAGGCACCCAACACTCTGGGACTGGGGAACCAGGGACTTGTCAGGGAGGAAGGGTGAAGGGGATTCCAGCTCAGAGGGATCCATCCTTGGCATTCGGGAGTGGGTGGCGGCTGGCGCTAATCCTGGGTAGAGAAATGGCGGGGCCTCCCTGGGAGTTCCGGCCAGGTCGTGTGGAGGCCAGCAGTGGTATTGGGGCTCCTCTGTTCTTGAACAGCTCTCTGCGTGGGGTTTGAGACGTGGGGAAGGAGTGTGGGCTCAGCCAGACAAGAGGAGGGTTCAGGGAGTAGACACACACACACACACACACACACACGCAAGCTACCTGGGGGGTGCATCATGAGGGCGCAGTGCCTGGCTGGGGAGGAAGGAGGGAGAGAGTCCAGTGTGTCTGTGTGTGGGTGCGGGAGACGGCTCTGTGGTTCTCGAGTGTGCGCCTGGGTCCTCGGGTGGATGGCTCTGTTTCCACGTGAGCTGAGGTGAAGCTGGGTTTTTGGCTCTACCTCTGCCTTATCTCTTGGCCCGAGCCTCTCAGCAGATCGGCAGAGAATTTTCCCTTTCGGGACGGTGGGAAAATATGGCTCATCAGACGGTATGGGTCAGGGCCTTACAAACACACGCAGATCACAGGAGGTTCTTCTGTGTGACCCTTAGCTGCACTGAGCTGGGATTTATACACGTTTAAGAGAGAGAGTGCTGAGTACCCTGCGTGTGCATCTGGTGTTTCCGCGTGTCTGATGTCTGGTGCGTACGTGTGTCTGTGTCTTCGACGTGTGTGTCACCGTCTTCAAAGCACCGCCTGTGTCCACAGCTGGGTCCATACCTGTCTCCAAGAAGCCATGTACCAGGGGCAGGAGCACGGACGGGCCCCTCCACACCGAGACGATCCGACGCTCAAATCCAAGTTTGGACAGGAGCCGGTCCATTCACCTTGGACGTGCTCCGAAGCTCCCACACACCTGTTTCTTCACGGGGACAAGAACAGCACCAACCACAGCAGGTTCTGGCCAGGGTTTAAGTGAGATGAAAACACGCACCCGACACAGGTCAGAATACATTAACGGTCCTGCCTTTGAATGTGCCTCTCAGAGAACCGTGTCTTCATGGTTGTGGCCGTAACGTGTGACGCCGCCGTCAGAGTAGGAGCTGCCTTAAGGCAGAGGTCGTAACGATCTTCAGCGACACTCAGGACACCTCACGGCCCCCTCGGTGTCTTGCGCATCCGTCCTCTTGAAGGGGAATTGCGTAAGCCCGTGACACAGAGGCCTGATGTCTGATGTATGCCTACCCCTGGGGGTACCTAGCGGGTGTCTGGGCAGCCGGTGATGGCACAGTGATGACAGCCCCCCATGGCCACGGCGGGACCCCACACCGGTGTCTCTCCGCCATCCCAGGTCCCTCCCTCCTGTCTCAGGCCGCTTCCTCCTTTCTCAGCTCACCCCTCCACGAGCATCAGCCACGGTGCCGGGCACGCCTGTGTGGCTTTTTATGGGTCAGCTGCGGAGGGGACAGGAGCACCGTCCAGCCTGCAGGCTACGGCCCTCCTCTGTGGAGTGCGTGTGTGTGTGCGCGCGCGTCTCTCTGTCGGGACGTGTGAGTGGCGTCTCTCTGTACGGGGTTGCTCTGTGTTATGGTGGGTACATGCGTCTGTCCGTTGCGTGACGCGCCTGGTGCCTGGGCTTTGATCTCCTCCCCGCAGCGGTCCCAGTTACGTAAGCGGCTGAGCTGGACTCAGGCCCGGGCTGCGGGCTCCCCCTGCTGGCAGCCTCCAGAGCCCCCAGTCTGGGGAGGGGCGTGTGGAAGAATCTGGTTCTCCCGGGGCCTCGGCCCCACCCGAAACACCAGCCCAGCCCTCAACACCTACCTGCCCCAGCTCCTGCCCAGCCCCAAGCCATAGGGTGTTCTCAGCGACCTGAGTGTCCCCTCTCATGACGCCCATACTGGGAGGTTGGTTATTACTTGCTCATGGTATGGCCCCCCAGGGAACAACCGTGTGTTCCCTGAAGGCAGGGGACCATGCCGGCCATGCTTACCACAGCATCTCCAGTGCCCGGTACCAGGCCTGGCCTAATCAGTGTTTGTTGAATGACCAAGTGTATAGGGTGAAGAAGCTTGGGAAGAGAGACAGTGGGATGTGGGAAGATTTGGGGCTCTGGGGACAGACAGGCCTGAGCTCATCAGACATTGGCCACTTAAAAGCTGTGTGGCCTTGGAGAAAATGCTTAACGTCTCTGAACCTTCAGTTTCTCATCTGTTGAATGACACCATCTGGTAAAATGTGCTGTAAAGACTAGAAATAATATCCAAAAGGGCCTTACTATGTAGGCATCTATTGGGATGATGATGAATGGCAACATCTCCCATCTCTCAAGCATCAGAAAGCAGTAAGTCCACTCCACTCCCAAATAAAGGAAGAGTAGTTTTCCTCCAAAGCTGCCCTATGCCTTTCCGCTTTCACATAGCTCAGTCTGACCTGTGGATAGATTTAGGTGAAATGGATTCGGAGAAATCAGGCTGTGAATATGTCCAAGTGGGAGGAAGACATCTTGCTGCCCTGTTCCTGGGCCAGTCCTGGAAGTACTGGGAGGGCTGTCCTTTGCCGAAACCAGCATTCAGCTTCAGCGTTTCTCTGCTCTCTGAATGTGGCTTCATATGAGCACCTCCTGTGAGCCAGGCACTGGCTGCATCCAAGGAAGATCTGGTCTGGCCTCTGCCACTTTTCCTCTTGGAGCCTTAGTTTCCTCCTCTGCAAAAGGGGGCCGGGAGGGAGTGAGAGGGGGAGAGTAGGAGCCCAGGGCGGGTAGGGGGTTGGAGGGTGAAGGTGCTAGATGGGCTCTGGGGTCGCTTCCCAGGGACGCCCCATTGGCAGACAGCTTTGCAGACCTGGCTGTCCCTTCTCTTATCTGGGCCCACCCTTCCTGCGCCTCCCCACTCCCCACCTTCTCGGCCGAGGGGAGAGAGAGCTCTCCCATCCCCCCACCTCCAGGGCAGGCCCCACTCTGCCCAGTGCCAGGGATGTTTGTCTCTCCTCATGGGAAACAGACCTCTTCACGTAATCGCTTCACTGCTCCTAAGGCTAAACAGAACGTCTCAGGAAGCAGTTCAAAGAATCATTCAAAAGCACAAACAAAACCCCGTAATTCCCTATCTCCTATTCCGTGTTATCCCGTGCCAAGAACCTCACGTACATTATCTCAATTAATAGTCACAAAAGCCCTTCGGGGTGGATGTCATCCCACCTCAAGGTGCCAAGAAAGCAGGTTGAAGGGAGTTAGCCAACTGGACGGGATCCCCAACCAAGAAGTGACTGCGGCGCCCTCCCTAACCCGCTCCCTCTGGTTCTGCCGGAGGGGGTGGCAAGCCAGTCTACCGGGACCTGGCGAGGCCCAGCGGCGCCCTTCAGCCCAGGCCCTCCGCATTCCGGAACTCCTGGGTCCCCCGCCAATCCCCACTCGAGCGGGGCTTGCGGCGAGGCCTAGCGGCCCGGGGCAAACGACTGGATCCTAAGTGCGTGGCCGGTCACCTGACCGACCCCGAGGCCCCTGCACCCAACTCTCAGAGAGAAAGGCCGCAGGTGCAGGGTGGGGGTGGGGGGCTGGGTAGGGGTTTGGCGGAGCCCAGGTGCCGCCCCTTTGCGTCGGCCGGGGTGGGGGCGGAGCCGGGACCGAGGTTGGGGCGGGTCGTGGCCGGGGCCCGGGGTTGGGGCGGGGCTGAAGCCGGAGTTGGGGCGGAGCCCGGACCGAGGTGGGCGGAGCAGGGCCGGGGTCGGAGCGGGTCGGGGCCCGGGGCCGGAGTCAGATCGGATCCGGGATCCGGGGCCCGGGGCCCGGGGTCTGAGCGGCGGAGCCCGGACCGAGGTGGGCGGAGCAGGGCCGGGGTCTGGAGTCGGGGCAGGGCCGGGGTCGGCGCGGGTCGGGGCCCGGGGCCGGAGTCAGATCGGATCCGGGATCCGGGGCCCGGGGCCCGGGGCCCGGGGTCTGAGCGGGTCCGGGGTCGGGGAGCGGGGCGGAGACAGAACAGAGGTCGCTGTGGGTCCGGCGTCCGGGGGTTGGGGGGTTGGGGCGGGGCGGGGACCGAGATCGGGGCGGGGCGGGGCGGAGCCGGGGCGCCGGGGGCGAGGCCAGGGTCAGGCGGGGCCGGGGCGGGGCTTGGGGCGGGGCGAGAACGGTCTCCGAGTCGCCGCGGAAAGAGGGAGAGCGGTAGGAAGAGAAGGGGGAAGGGGGGACTTGGAAGCTCCCGCGCCGCTCGCCTCGGCTCCGTGCACCCACGCCTCGCTGCTCCGCTCCGTGCCCCCTTCCCGGGCATGCGCCCTCGCAGTGCTCGTCCACCCAGAGCCCGCGCCGACCCCCGGAGCCTCCCCCAAGCCGGCCGCGCAGGATGGGCCCCCTCGGCCCCTTGCCGCGGCTGCCGCCGCCGCTGCTGCTGCTAATGCTGGGTAAGCCGGCCCCCGCCACGGCCCCCCAGCCCGCCGGCAGGTGCCTGCCACCTGGCGCCCAGCCCGGCCCCCTCCCCAGCGCTTCGGAGCCCCTAGCACCCGCTACTCCGTCAGGGGCGCCTCGAGCCTCCCTCCCCGGGCTCAGCGCCCAGCGGCCTGAGTGGCTGCCCCGGCTGGGGCCCAGTGAGGACCCACCGAGGTGCCACCTCCAGGCCGCCGGGCCAGCCCCACTTCTCCGCCGGCATACTCAGGGCCTGGGGTCGCTGCGCCCAAACGCTGCGACTCCCTTTGCCTCACACTGAGCTTGAGGCCCAGCGCTGGCTGCCCGCCCTGCGTGGGCAGCGCTGGCCCGTCTTCATAATTGCCCGGAGTTGGCTGGAGGCCCAGGGGCCGGTTCTGCCGTGATCTTTGAAGTTCAGCCTCCCCAGATGGTTCCCCTCCCCCCAGACCTCATCATCTGAGGTTTGGGGCAGTTCCCCCTGTCACCCCCATCTCCACCCTGGGCCGGGTCTCCCTTTGCCCACTTTCCCTCTCTCAGGTCGCACTGGGCTCTGTGGCCTCTTAGTGCTCGTCACACCCCCTTGTTCCCCGCTCCCTGCCTCAGGAGAAACCAAGCGCCATGGAGACTGATGCTGGGATCTCCAAGCCCCTTGGGTCTGTGGGGGTGGGTGTTCCTGGTGAGGTGTTCTGACCACCGCTGCATGGATGCGTGAGAGAGCACCTGGCAGCGCAGCTGCTTCTGGTCTGAACTGGAGGGTTCCTTCGGGACTGGTCCGGGGAGGAGTGTGGCTTCGAGACAGCAGGCTGCCTGTACAGATGTTTGGGAGACTGAAGCCCTCGCAATGAGAGTGCAGAGCGGGGGTGGCCTTGCCACCCGGATTCGGAGCTGCCATCGTCAAGGCACAGGCTGACGTCGCCCCAGCGGCCTGTTTCTAGACCAGAGCTCCAGCGCAGGGCCAAGCAGAGCCTCCCCCCGGCTCCATAGGTCCCTGGGCCCTGGGGAACTAGAACGAGGCCTCTCCTCGGGGCCCTGGGTGGGAGGCAGGAGGAAGTTGCTGTGGGGCCCGGTTGCCTAGCAGGTAGCCGGTTGTCCCCAGTGGGCAGCGTGGAGTGGAAGAGCCCAGGGGAGGTGGGAGAGTGTGGTGCGCAGACATGGAAGAGCCTGCGGAGATCTGAGTGCCCACTGCGTGCAGGCGCTTAGGTTCATTCTGAAGAGGAGGAAGGTGAGGTGATTTGCTCCAGAGCGCCCATCTCGTGAGCGTTGGGGCTTGGATTTGAACCCAGATCCGTCTGACTCCAAAGCAGGTCTCTGCCCCACCTCCCCTCTCTGGCTGGGGAGAGAGCTGCCTGGCAGCTGGTTTCCTGGGGCGGCCTGGCTGGCCGACTTTCCCATGGGGATCCCCAAGCATCAGCAGCTCTGGAGCCAGGAAGGTGGGAGGGGGGCCCTTCTGGGCAGAGTCTGCTCGGAGGCCGAAAGGTGTCAGCTCATCTGTCTCCACCATCGCCTAGATTATGAAATGCCCTGGGGCAGGGCCCTCCTGAGTCACACACTCACTTGCTGTCAGAGCGGAGACTGTCTTGGGAGAGGAAGAGATGTGTCAGTGCAGCTGGGCATGAGGATGTGGCTGGGACCCAACCTCCTGAGGCCCAGCATGTGCTTTAACCAAGCGACCACAGGTGCCTCCCTCCTCCCTGGACTCAGCTACAGGAAGAAGGGGCTGAGAGCCCAGCTCAGGTGGGAAGGTCAAGGGAAGCATGTCTGGAGGGGCTGGAGGACAGAGTTTGACCACAGACTTCGTGTTTTCCTCCAGCCTCTGCAGAAAGGCCCTGGGTATGCCCCTGGGAGTGACAGACATTCTGGTTGGTGAGGTCAGTCCCCTCCGGCCTCCCCTGGGAGTTTCCCATCTTCCTCCCTGGCTTTGTCCCTCCGCGGGGGCCTGCGGAAGCCATCTAAGGATAGTAGGATCTTGGTCAAGACATTATACTTCTCTTGCCTTACACCTCTTATCTGTAAAATGGAGGCAGGGGGCTGACCCAGCCCTCCTTCCTATGGCCTGGAGTTCTGGGATCTTATCCAGTGGGGCTATGGAAGGGTGGAAGGAGAGAAGGAAGAAGCAGGGCCCTCCGAGGGACTCAGGAGTATCTGCTGGGGCAGGATGAAGAAGAGAATTTTGGCTTCTCTGAGGAGAGAAAGATGGGAAGGGACAGCTGGGGTTTGCACCTCTTAACAGAGAGGAAACCTTATGTAAGTGAACGCACACCATATGCAAATGAAGGCTTTTGTTAGGTAGTTGGGACGGAAGCACTGTGCATCATCAGCTGGGCCAGCCAGGAAGATTGGCAGGCCCTGGGGGGAGGGGTGGGGACCTTCTGCCCCCAGAGGCCAGGGCAGAGGCTGGTTCTTGCCCCATAAGGCTCAGCTGCCTCTGCAGCCCCGTGGGGTGGGAGCAGCAGTGAGCTCATGGCACAGCTGGAGAGGGGAGGGCATTGTGTGGTGAGAACTGGCTGGGTCTGTGCCCTGTCCTGCTCAGGCCACTGGCTCTATTGTCTGGAGTCCCCTGGTCCAGGTGACACAGCTGAGCCGACCAGCCCTTCTGTGCAAGAGTTTGCCAACTCCCCTCAAACAAAGGAGAGGGCCATGTGGCCTCAGAATCCCTTAGCTGGAAGGCCCCACTGACCAGGCCCAGAACGGCTGGGAGGGGGGAGATGTGGGAGGCAATCAAGGTACAGCTGAAATCAAGGAGGCAGAGCAGATGGGCCTCTTTCTGCCAGTAGGTGCCTTACTTCTGGCCTCCCAGAAATGGGATGTTTCTGGGTTCTGAGGCAAAGCCGGGTCTATAACCCACTCGGGATCCAGGTGTCTTACCTCCCAGCAGCATCCTTTCCCTGTCCCCAGGGCAGGGCCCCGGCTGGGTCCCCACCTTCCCCAGGTTTGCTCTCCTTTATCGGGCAGGCAGCCAGAATGGTGCTGGGAGTGGGGGATACAGTGGGGACCCAGGCAACTCCAACTTCTCCTGTCCTCCCCTACAGGAGTCCAGTGCTTTGCCCGGGAGGTGCTGGTCCCCCAGGGGCCCCTGTACCGCGTGGCTGGCACGGCCATCTCCATCTCCTGCAATGTGAGCAGCTACGAGGGCCCTGCCCAGCAGAACTTCGAGTGGTTCTTCTACAGGCCTGAGGCCCCCGAGGCTGCGCTGGGCATTGTCAGTACCAGGGATACCGGGTTCTCTTATGCCGTCTTCGGGCCCCGCGTGGCAGCTGGCGAGGTGCAGGTGCAGCGTCTGCAGGGGGATGCCGTGGTGCTCAAGATTGCCCGCCTGCAGGCCCAGGATGCGGGCATTTATGAGTGCTATACGCCCTCCACTGATGCCCGTTACCTGGGCAGCTACAGCGGCAAGGTGGAGCTCAGAGGTACTGGCCCTGGGGTGGGCGCAGGCCCGTGCGCCCAAAAGGCCCAAAGTCAGGGCCTGGAGGGACCTGCCTAACCGCCCCTCAGGTTTTGTGGCTGAGGAAGCTGAGGCCCAGAGAGGTTGTGTGGCTCGCACGAAATCACCCAACAAGTTAGGGGCCCGTCCGGGACTCTAACCAAGATCTCTCCATTCCAGCCCATCGGGCTTCCTCTTCTGTGGGGCTACCTCCTGGGAAAGGGGGAGCCGGTCCCCTGCATTCGCTGCTGGGGGGAGCCCTCTAGGGTGAAGGGCCTCCATTCCTAGAGACTCCGGGATGCAGAACTGGGGGTGGCGGGGGACGAAGCAGAGGTAGGGTAGGAGGAGTGAGACCATGTGACATTCTTGCTCTTTTGTTTCTTTGTCTTCTGAGAAGGCAGACAGAGCCACTTTTCTGTGGTCCTGACAGGGGTTAGTTAGTTCCAAACATACGGGTGAGTAGGCGAAGGGCTGGGCTGTGAACTTCTGCAAGCATTTATTGAGCGCCTGGTGTGTGCCCGGCACCACTGGGTCACAGAAGAGATAACACAAGATGAACTCTGCCCGGTAGGAACTAACCGCGGTCCATTTAGGGAAACAGCCTGTGCACAGGGAGGGGTGACGAGGGCCACCAGCTCGCGGCCCTCCCTCACTGCAGCTGTTCTGTGCAGTTCTTCCAGATGCGCTGCAGGTGTCTGCTACCCCCCCGGGGCCCCGAGGCCGCCAGGCCCCGACGTCGCCCCCCCGGCTGACAGTGCACGAGGGACAGGAGCTGGCCCTGGGCTGCGTGGCGCGGACCAGCACGCAGGAACACACACACCTGGCGGTGTCCTTCGGGAGAGCGGTGCCCGAGGCGCCAGTGGGGCGAGCCACTCTGCAGGAAGTGGTGGGGCTCCGGCCGGACTTGGCCGTGGAGGCCGGGGCTCCCTATGCCGAGCGGCTGGCTGCAGGGGAGCTGCGGCTGAGCAAGGAGGGGGCTGAGCGGTACCGCATGGTGGTGGGGGGAGCCCAGGCGGAGGACGCGGGCACCTACCACTGCACGGCGGCTGAGTGGATTCAGGATCCCGATGGCAGCTGGGCCCAGATCGCGGAGAAGAGAGCGGTCCTGGCCCACGTGGACGTGCAGACACTGTGTGAGTGCCACACCCCACGGTGGGAGCTGGGAGCCCTGGTATTTCGGGGGCGGGGGCTGTGGCCGAGGGGGGCACCGATGGCCACTGCCTGACTTCAGGGGGCCCATCTTCCCGAGGGAGCCGGTCCTGTTAGCGTCCCTTCCCTCCCCTGGCGGGTTCTCTCTGCTCAGAAGTTGGGTGTGGAGAGCGGAGGGCCATGGCTGAGAGATGAGAGGCCCTGGGTGGTGGGGATGGTCGTACCCCGTGAGGGGCAGAGGGCTGCCTTGCGGTGCTGCTGGGGGTGGGGGGAGGAACTACAGCGCGGCAGTCATGCTCTGTGCCCCCTCCCGCCTCCATGACACCCCTTCCCTGTCCTGTGTTTCAGCCAGCCAGCTGGCAGTGGCAGTGGGGCCTGGGGAGCGTCGGATCGGCCCAGGGGAACCCTTGGAACTGCTGTGCAACGTGTCAGGGGCCCTGCCCCCGCCAGGCCGCCACGCCGCCTACTCCGTGGGCTGGGAGATGGCCCCCGCGGGGGCGCCGGGGCCTGGCCGCCTGGTAGCCCAGCTGGACACAGAGGGTGTGGGCAGCCTGGGCCCTGGCTACGAGGGCCGGCACATTGCCATGGAGAAGGTGGCGTCCAGAACCTACCGCCTCCGGCTGGGGGCTGCCAGGCCCGGTGATGCGGGCACCTACCGCTGCCTTGCCAAGGCCTACGTCCGAGGGTCTGGGGCTCGGCTTCGAGAAGCAGCCAGTGCCCGCTCCCGGCCGCTCCCCGTGCACGTGCGGGAGGAAGGTGAGGGGGGCGGTGGCTGGGGCCTCTCCCGGGGTCGGGGCTTGCGGAACCTTTTCCTTCTGTTTCTGGGCTTCTCTCCCTCTGCGTCCGCTGCCACCACGCCCTTCTCTCCCGCTCCTCTTCTTCGGGATTCTGGGAGCCCCTTGAGCTCCCTGGGGTGCTGCTTGGCCAGCGGTCCTAACCCCGTGCCCCCCTGGCCCCACGTCCTTGTTCCACAGGCGTGGTGCTGGAGGCCGTGGCGTGGCTGGCGGGAGGCACCGTGTACCGTGGGGAGACGGCCTCCCTGCTCTGCAACATCTCAGTGCGGGGCGGCCCCCCAGGGCTGCGGCTGGCCGCCAGCTGGTGGGTGGAGCGGCCCAAGGACGGGGAGCTGAGCTCTGGCCCTGCCCAGCTGGTGGGCGGCGTGGGCCAGGACGGTGTGGCGGAGCTGGGGGTCCGGCCTGGAGGAGGCCCTGTCAGTGTGGAGCTGGTGGGGCCCCAAAGCCATCGGCTGCGGCTGCACGACTTGGGGCCCGAGGACGAAGGCGTGTACCACTGCGCCCCCAGCGCCTGGGTGCAGCACGCCGACTACAGCTGGTACCAGGCGGGCAGTGCCCGCTCGGGGCCCGTCACGGTGTACCCCTACACGCACGGTGAGTGACCCCTCCACACCCCCCCCCGTTCAGCCCGGTCCCTTCTTCTGCCCTTCCCACGTGCTTCTCCTGCTCCTGTCCCCCCTTCTCCTCCACATCACTCCATACCAAGAGTCTCGGACACCCGCTTTCAGCCCTTTCGGGCCCCAGCATCCCTGCTGACCGGAGTCAGGGCCGAGGGGCAGGGGAGGGCTGTCTGTGAATGGACGTGGGGCCCACGACCCAACAGAGACGGCGCGGGGAACAGGTGTGGCAGGAGGTGCAGGGCGGAGGCCCCCAGGCTGAACCGAGCCGTCCACTCTCGCCCAGCCCTGGACACCCTGTTTGTGCCCCTGCTGGTGGGTGCTGGGGTCGCCCTGGTCACCGGCGCCACCGTCCTTGGTACCATCACCTGTTGCTTCATGAAGAGGCTGCGAAAACGGTGATCCCTCGCTGCGCAGGTGAGAGAGAAGAACCCCAACCTCGTCTTCTCCCCCCCACCCCCGCCGGGCGTCCTGAGGTGAGCTGCCCCTCCCCACCCCAGCCGGGGAAGGAGCAGACGTCGGGGCTCTGTCCTCAGCACACCCACACTGTCTCTCCAGGTCTTGCAGGTGTCGACTGTCTGCCAGCCCAGCTCCAAGACTGCCTCTGGTTGCCTGGCTACCCGCTCCCTCTGCTCCCCTTCCTTTAATTTATTTGACCTCCCCCACCCAGGGTGGGGGACATGGCCCCCACCCCGCGCTCCTTCCTTCCTGACTCCTCCCTCTGGCCTTCTGTTCTTGGTCTCATGCCCAGCCCATAGGGAGGCCATTCCCTGTCCTAGAATTAGTTTTTCTAAAATGTGAATAAACTTGTTTTATAAAATCCAGGGCCAGCCGTGTCTTCCCTGCCCTGGGGCTGAGGTGTGTGGCAGGGCAACTCTTGGGGGCTTGACGACCTATTCTGCGTGACCCAGGCCTCCCTTCCCACCACAAACACCATCTGGCCTCTGTGGGCCGTGCCACCCACCCAGGAGGGGACACCTGGGCCCCATCTGCTGCCCGAGCTGTCGGTGCCTTGCCAATCCCTGTTGGGACTTCTACTTGGGGAGGGGAGCACAGAGAGGGGGTGAGGTCACTGAGCCCGGCCCCCTCTCCCAGCCAGGGCAGGGGCCTCTGGGTGAGGCCTTTTCTAGTTGCCCACACCACTCTGCCTTCTCATTCTCGGTCCTCCTCCTCTTGGACCTGACGCCTCCCAGGCCCTGGGGCCTCAGCCTTTTTCCTCCTGATCTTCATTATTCTGTCTGACAGCCGGGGAAAAGAAGCCCCAGAGCACGGCCCCCGGGGTGGCGGCGAGGACAGCAGTCGGGGAGGGCCTGTGTGTCCACAGAACCCCTGCCTAGGTGTCCCCACCCCCGCAGCCGGCATGCGCCCCCCAGGTCTCGGCTCCCCTCCCCTCCAGTGCCCCAGGGGTCCCCTGAATTTGTCTTTGCTTCAAGATTCTCTGATCTGAGAATTCTTAGTTGCTCTGCACCTTAAGGGGCACCCAGTTGGCCTCTTTTAATTCAGTTATTTAAACATTTATTGAGCATTACTAGTGTGCTAAGTGTTCTTTTTACAGAAGGGGAAACTGAGGCCCAGAGCAGAGGTGTACCTCGCCCAGAGTCATAGAGCTAATTAGTGACAGTGTCAGAAGCACACTCCGGGGCTCCCGACTCCTTGCACTGTACCCAGTGGTGCCCTGAGCGGTAACTGAGTGGCATGGATACAAACAGCCACCCCTCCTGTCCAGACTCACCTGTTTCACTGAATTAAGCCTAATGACCCTGCCCCACACTATTTGTTCTTGAGGGAACAGCCGATGCCGGGGTTCAGTGACCTCATCTTTGACTGATGGTGACCCAGGTAGCCCTGTGACATGAGGCAAAGATGTTTCTCTGGGGGGGCCCATGCTGGCAGCTCCCTCTGACCCCCTTTCCTGCTTTCAGGAGGCCCAGGGACCCACAGGACCATGGCTTCCCAGCCCGGAATGGAGCAGACAGGGCTGCTTCCCCCCGAGGGGCTCAGTCTTTTCTTAAAGGACAGGAGCAGGCTGTGGCCAGGACCAAGAAGTGGAGGTCACTGCTGGGCCAGTGCTGTGGGAATACGCGCTTGCCTGGACAGACACTTTCCTCCCAGGAGGCCTGAGGCTGGCCTCAGTCCTATCCCAACCTGTCATTGCTCTCCCCTCACCATCCTGGGCGGCTGCCCCTGGTGATTCCGATGACCAGGAAGGGGGCGGAGGTAGGACGGGAATAGTGTCTGCAGGGCCTGCTGGCCCGGCTGGGCAGACAACAGGCCACAGACGCAGCCAGATGTTTGGCCTCCTTGCTTCTCCCTCGCGTGTCACCCATATTCAATCCTGCCTCTTAAGTCCCACAAGGGATTCAATCTTGGGCCGCTGATGCCCTTCCTGCTCCAGCCCCCAACCCCTGCCCAGGAGCCCCCTCGAGGACTCCTGACTGCTTCGGTTTCCCTATCTTGCCTATTCATCTTCCCCAAACACCACCTCCAGCTTATCACTGCGCTATTTCCCCTGATGGGTAAGTTCTCGGGCCCAGAGTTAAACTCGTCAGCCTGGGTTTCAGGGTCCCCTTTCCCACTCATGATAGTCCACCCTTTATTGTTCAGTCTCCTCCCCCAACAATCCTCTGCTTCTCCTCAGCTCCCCCACCCCCTGCTGTTCCTCAGCTTTCCGCTCAGCTACTCCTCAGTTCCTCCTCAGTTTCTCAGTTCCCCCTTAGCTCCTCCTCCTTCCCCCTCAGCTACTCCTCAGCTTCTCAGCTGCTCCTCAGCTTTTCCTCCGTTCCCCCTCAGCTACTTCTGATACGACTCCAAGTCTTTGTGTAGAGCAGTGGTTCTTAAAGTGTGGCCCCCATTCCAGCAGCATCAGCATGACCTGAGAACTTGCTAGAAATGCAAATTTTTGATCTCTACCCCAGACCTACTGAGTCAGAAACTCTGAGAGTGGGGCCCAGCAGTCTGCTTTCGCAAGCCATCCAGGTGACTCTGACGCACACACCAGTTTGATAACTGCTGGCTTACTCATTCTCTGTGCCTTACTCCCTAGATTTCTGATCGCCAAACCCTCCTGCCCTCTGCTCCGAGAGATGGCTCAGGTTCAGTCTGAACCATATCTTGTTCAGTTGCCACAGGGGCTTATTTCTCTGTTTTCCTAGGTGCACTGCATTCTGAAGATAGGGACGGGGGCCTCTGAATGCCCACCCCACCTATGTGGGGTCAGTGTTCTGTACTGGGTGTGCAGCCAGTGAATGCTGGGAAGGCCCTCTCACCGTGCCCCAGGACAAATTCTGCTTTCCGGAGGGCCCCTGTCTCCCAGCTCTAGTGAACTCACTTTCTGGGTCTCTCCCCTGGCCCGTCTTCCTCCTCAGAATGTCCCTCTCCCCCTCCTGCCTCTGCAGTGCTCTTTACGAGGTCTCATTCCACTCTCAAAAAATAGCCATCCCTGGTTCTCCTTTCCCAGGCCCCGCTCTGGGGCCCCACCGCCTGTTTTCCTGCACTCAGGGGGGCAAGGTCATTCACACCCTGCTGGGCCACCCCTGCAGGCTTCCATCCTCCTGCTCTCCCGTCACCGTGGTAGGGGTGGAGCAGGGAGGGCACCCTCGTCTCGGCCCACCTATCCATCCAGCCTTCTCTCCTCTGGGTCAGCTCGGGCCACTGTGTCCACTGAGACAGGTATGCCATACACGGGGAGGCTGGCTGAGGAGATGAGTGGGGACCAAAGTCCAGCCCACACCCTGCTCCCCAAGCCGTGCACTCTGGTTTGGGGTGGCATCAGCCTGGAGGTAAAGGGTGCCTTTTTAGAATTTGCACAAAGATGCTGTATGGGTTAGCAGCAGTCCCGAGTGCACCACCTCTGTCTGTCCGTTTACCTAGCCCCCAGCGTCCCTCTGTCTGCTACCACCTCCCCATCCGGCCCACAGCAGTCCATCCTTCTGTCCATCCATCCACCCCTGAACAGATGTGAAGGTCAAACACAGGCTGGTATGTTCACCTGTCCCCACGCTCCCCGAAATCGGACCCCTCCCTTCCACTGGATTCTAGGCTTGAGAATCTGAGGGGGTGCTCCAGCTTCAGCACATTCCCAGGGCTCTTGCCTGCCTCCTTCTCCACCTCTGACATGCAGCTCCCAGGTACCGGTGTCTGGCCCTGCCACAGGGGTCTGGAGGAAACGGGTCACACCTTGGACTCGCTCTCTGGGGGCGGCAGGCAGCCATTCTGCTCCTTGTCAGCACCAGCCTCTCCCCCTGCCCCCTCCCCGGCCCCCTCCTCCTCCACCTTCTCATCCAGCCGGCTGGGGATGGACCAGTAAAGATGGGCGTCAAGGCGGGCAGCGGCTTCGGCCAGCTCCCGGGCGCTGCACGAGGGTGTGGGCACCTCAAAGGTCTGGTGAAAGCTGGCATAGTCCACCTCATAGAAGCCATCCTCCAGGGTGAGCACTGATGTGAAGCGGTGGCCCCACAGCACCTCATCCACCAGGTAGGAGCTCCGAGCTTGGCATGTCATTCCTGGGGGGAGGGGCACGGGTCAGGGGGGGATCCCAGCCCCAGGCTTCCCTCTCCTGGCTCTCATTCCACAACCCTATTCCCACACCCCTCCCTCTCTCCCTCCCCAAGGGTCCCCCACCCCCCCTTGATCCAGCCCGTCTTCTCCCCCTTCTCAACTCCTTCCTATACCTGCCCAGCTCCCTCTCTTCTGCATTCGTCCCAACTCTGTCAACCTCCAGCCCATCTCTCCCCTCCTCTGCCCATCAGAGAAGCTTAACCTTGGAACTGACCTTAGGGATCATCTAGTCCAACTTCCCTTTCCACACAGGGCTTCCCATTGGAGCATCCCACTAATGGGCATTGTGCTGGTACTTATCACCACCCAGGATGGAGAGCTCACCACCTCACAAGTGTGACACCTCTAATCGGTTGTTCTTAAATAAGAGCTAAAATCTGGGGACACCTGGCTGGCTCAGTCGGTTAAGCATCTGCCTTCGGCTCAGGTCATGATCCCAGGGTCCTGGGATTGAGTCCCCCATCGGGCTCCCTGCTCGGCAAGGAGCCTGCTTCTTCTTCTTCTTCTTTTTTTTTTTTTTTAAAGATTTTATTTATTTATTTGACAGAGAGAGGCACAGCGAGAGAGGGAACACAAGCAGGGGGGGTGGGAGAGGGAGAAGCAGGCTTCCCGCGGAGCAGGGAGCCTGAGGCGGGGCTCCATCCCAGGACCCTGGGATCATGACCTGAGCCAAAGGCAGACACTTAATGACTGAGCCACCCAGGTGCCCCAAGGAGCCTGCTTCTTCCTCTCCCTGCCTCTCTCCCTGCTTATGTGCTCTCTCTCTCTCTATGACAAATAAATAAAATCTTAAAAAAAAAAAAAGAGCGAAAATCTGCCTCCCCAGGATTTCCACCCCTTGCTTTTGCTCCTCCTCAGTGCCATTTGACACCCATTCAGGAACCTCAGGGCCCGTCACGTCTTCTCTTCTTCAGGCTGAACATCCCTGGCTCCCTCTACCATTCCTTATGTGACCTGGCTTCCAGAAATTTTACTTTCTCGATTGCAAACCTGAATGGCCAAGGAGGACCTTTTCAGCACTTTCAGTATGATTAAAATATATATATATGATAAATAAAATGATAAATGTCCAGCTGTGGCCTGATCCATGCACAGGAGAGGGCTCACCACCTCCTCTTCTGGCCACGAGGCTTTAGCTAATAGGGCCCAAGATTACGTTACGTAAACATTTTTGGAAGCTGTATCACAGCGCGGCAACATCAAGCCTGTGGCCAACTAAAACCCTCAGTTCTTTTTTTCACCAGAGCCTTTCAATGCGGTGCT